TCCAACTCCAGGCTGTAGATTCCCGGGACTCCGTGGCCATGGCTTTATATTCCCAGTGTTTTTCCTGGATCATCCTGAAGATCAATCAAAAAATCAAAGGAAAGGAAAACTTTAAATCCATCGGCATCCTGGACATCTTTGGTTTTGAGAACTTTGAGGTGAGAACCCCTCCCTTATGTAACTCTGCCAAACCTTGTGTCTGTACAGGAAATTTAGGAATGTTCAGACTGACGTGGAGCTCCCTGCAGAGCAGATGCCGATCCGTGTGTAAGATTTGTCTCTTTGTGTTTCCTCCAGGTGAATCGGTTTGAACAGTTCAACATCAATTATGCCAACGAGAAACTGCAGGAGTATTTCAATAAGCACATCTTCTCCCTGGAGCAGCTGGAGTACAACAGGTACGTGTTCCACTGGAGCTCAGAAAAAAAGTCCTTTATAGAGATCATTTCTTCTGTCACGGAAATGACTGAACACGACTTATACATGTAACTAACGAATTTATGGGAGTAACCGTGAAACGCCGTAAGTCGAGGACGCTGTAAGTTGAGGACGCTGTAAGTCGAGGACGCTGTAAGTCGAGGACGCCGCAAACCGAGGACCTCCTGTAATTCATTAGTAATATATGGTTAATTGCAAAACTACTGTAAGGAGAATTTCTTGCTTGATGATGCAGATGTGACTTGTACGAAATGTAGGTCATTTCTATTCAGATATCAGGAACGTTTATCAGGATACATGTTTAAACAGTAGTTTTACACCAGTGCTGCAGCTAAACATCACAAAAACCCATTTCTGTCATCATATAAATTTAATGCAACCCAACAAGACCATTTCAGAAGTATGTTGTGCCCCAGGCACGTAGCAGCCTCTTCTATTTATTAAAATAGGCCAGTTAGGATAATTAGGTTGGTCAGTTTATTAACCTTTAATAACTTAATGAATCTCAATCGATTTTAAATAAAATACACCTAAGGGAAAAATTCAGTTTAAATCATGCTCTTAATTTACCCCCATCCCCACAGAGAGGGGGTGCAGTGGGACGCCATCGACTGGATGGACAACGCCGAGTGCTTAGACCTCATAGAGAAGGTGAGAAACCGCATCGACACATCCTAATGTCACATCTTCTGAACCTTGTTTTTTTCCTGAAGAGGAAATCGTTGCCTGAAGATGCTGCTGGTTTGAAAGCGAAGCTGTGATAACTCCAATGTTTCCTCCCCGTCTTTCTTAGAAACTGGGTTTGTTGGCACTGGTGAACGAAGAGAGTCGATTCCCCAAAGGAACTGACTTCACTCTGCTGGAGAAGCTGCACAGCAGACACTCTGTGCGTTACTTACACATTTGTTAATGCACTTCATGCATAATTCACCACAGAGTCGAGTTCTGGTGTCGGTGTTAAAACTCTGATCTGTGTTTTTTTTTCTTTCCTCCTAACTCTCCTGTTTGCTGCAGACAAACCCGTATTATGTCAAACCCAGACTTGCTGATCATCAGTTTGGTATCAAACATTATGCTGGAGAGGTGAGCCAGGAAAACTCTCCTTCATGTTTTAAGACGTGCCTGTGACAACTGTGTAAGTAATGGACCTTGTTTTGCACAGGTCTTGTATGATGTTAAAGGAATCCTGGAGAAAAACAGAGACACCTTCAGAGACGACATCCTGAACATGCTCAAAGACAGCAGGTGGGACGCTCAGGAAAAGCTTGAACACGGGCTGATTATTACGGCCTCAAACGTGATACAGTTTGTGTTTGTGTTCCTCCACAGACTGGACTTCATCTATGACCTGTTTGAGAAGGTCGGCAGCAGGAACAATGAGGAGAAGATGGGAACAGCCCGGCGTAAACCTACAGTCAGCTCCCAGTTCAGGGTGAGTGAAGTACAAAAAGTAGCTAAAGGTTAATCATTTTTAATGCTAAATTAGCATTAGCTAATCAAGCTTAGTCAACCATGTTTGCTTAAAATCTTAAAAAGGTTAGCCAATATAGTTAAAACAATTATGAAAAATAGTGGAAATAAAGTGAAAAATATTGGCTAATCAATACTGTGTAGCCAAAAGCTAATTGTAAGTACCCAATAAAATAATAAAAATAAAATTTAAACTATTAGTAAAGTTAACGTAGAAACAAAAAGAATATTAATAAATATATTCCTCCCTTATTTGTCCCACAATAGTTTAGTTCCCATGCCGAGGCAGGCGCCATTGAGTATGTGTTTTCTCTGGGACTCGAACCCAGGACCTTCTGTGTGTGAGGCAGATGCGTGAAGCAGGCTAATGGCTAAAAGTACAACAAAGATTTGTTAGAAAAGTGAATAGATTTAGCTTTAAAGCTCATTGTAAAAAGTCCATAAATCTTGTAGTGAAGTTCATTCTCAGGACTCGTCTCTCCTTCGTCTCCTCAGGACTCCCTGCACGCCCTCATGGCCACTCTGAGCGCTTCCAACCCTTTCTTCATCCGCTGCATTAAACCCAACATGAAGAAGGTCCGACTGCTTCTGTCCCACACTCACATTAACAAAGACTGAGGGTGTGATGTCACCTCTAACCTTTTTCCTCTTTATATCTGTGTAGAATCCAAGTGTTTTTGACCCTGAAATTGTCATGAATCAGTTGAGATATTCTGGGATGCTGGAAACAGTGAAGATCCGTCGTGCTGGCTTCCCCGTGCGTCGAACTTTCAAAGACTTTTTCTCCCGGTAGGTACATGAGCTCATAACCGTGTGGATTCACAGTGCAGGTGCACAGTGTCTCTAACTCTGTCTCTTTGGCTGCACAGGTACAAGATCATTCAGAAGGTCAAGGTGCCCACGGCTGGAGACGATAAGAAGAAGAGCACAGACCTGCTGCTGAAATATGACAAGACCAAGAAGGAGTGGCAGCTGGGAAAAACCAAGGTAACGTTGGTAAAGGCAGCTACAAACCACAAACAGCCGATGAGTTAATATGGGAACTTCAGCTGACTCTTTTTGCCGTGTAGGTGTTTATGAAAGAGTCTCTGGAGCAGCGTCTGGAAAAAGACCGGGATGAGGTCCGAAGCCAAGCAGCGATGATAATCCGAGCTCACCTGCTCACCTTCTCTGCCAAGTAAGAGCTGAAGATGTAATTATTTGAAGGAGAGATCCGGCTGCTGCCAACACTGATGGTCGTGGTAGAATATAGGAGAATATCTGTACTGTTGACTTTATAACATGCTCAACATGTCGATACAAATGCTATGCAACAGTGACTTGTTTTTATAAGATACAACTGTGTTGGTTTAAAACAGTCATTAAGCATAAACACATTAATAGTTTATTCTTTTTGTGTAGAAATGTTCCCTCACTAGGTACATTCTTTTAAAGTATATTTTAATCCACAGGGAAAAGACAAAACAAGACAAAAAAAGAGTTCATTTTTGACTGATCTTTCTATGACTGAGAATGTAAAAAGTAAAATAAAGTTGCAAGATTAAAGTCCTAAATTTGGGACATTTGGGCCGTAAATATTATGTTGAAAAAGTCATACATTTTTGTTGACATATTAGCATAAATGTAAAAAAAACCAAAAACTAGCCACTGTCAGCCTGAGCCTCTGGCGCCTGCGTTTGTCTCTCCCACGTTCCCTGTTGTGTCCAGTCCAATGATAACTCATGTCCATGTCCACAGGAAGCACTTCAAACGTGTGCGCGCCAGTGTGGTCACCCTGCAGAAACACCTGCGGAGACACATCCAACGCAGGCGATTTGTGAAGCAGCGCAAGGCTGTGCTGGTGCTGCAGAGACACCGGAGAGGACAGGTGGCACGCTCTCACGTTCGAAAACTCAGGGAGGAGAAAAAGAAGAGGGAAGAGGAGCAGAGGAAGAAAGAAGAGCAAGAGAAGAAGAAACTCAGTGGAGGGCAGCAGCAGGAGGAGGAGGAGGAGGAGGAGGAGGAAGAGGAGGAAGAGGAGGAGGAGGCGAGTGAAGGAGAGGAGAAAAGCAAGTCATCAGAAGTAAGTTTGCTTTTCATATTCTTGCGAGAAATGCTGCTCCCTTTTCTAAAACTGGAATGTAAGATTGACTCCCCCCTGTTTTCTCCTCCAGGACGAGACCCGTCAGATGGAGGAGATCCTGCAGCTGGAGCGGGAGATCGAACGCTTGCAGAAGAAGCGAGAAGACGAGGTGTCGCAGCTGTGTGAATCCTCTAAACAGCAGCTGCAGCTTCGCCGAGACGCTGAGCTCAAACGGATGAAGAAGGAGGCGTCTCGCAAGGCCACGGAGCTCATTGACCTCCTGAACTTCGGAGGCGTGGATCCTACCCTGGGAGCAGAGGGACCTAAACCTGCTGAAGAAGTAAAGACTCCCCAGAGAGCGGCCGCCACGCCAGGTGCATCCAAAGAAGAGGAGGTGGATGAAGGCTTCCACGCTGAGGAAGAGTGCATCCCCCTCCCCGACTTCCCACCTCCTGCTGACACTAACGCTCCCGTGGATCAGGACATTTTTGCTCATCTTCCTCCACCTCCTCCTGCCTTTGCTGAGGGCACTGTCCCTCCTGCGCCACCTGGACCACCTCCTCTCACCACAGATGGTGTGCCTGTCACTGGAATTCCACCTCCTCCTCCACTTCTTCCTCCACCGGGAGATGGTTCTGCTGTTCCTCCACCACCACCTCCTGCTCCTCCTCTCCCAGGAGAAGGGGAGAAGAAGGAAGCAGAGAGGGCAGATTCGGAGAGGAAGGTGAGCATGGTGGAGAGCCTGGTGGATGTGGAGGAGCCCATCTACAGCATGCCTGCAGACACCGAGTCGGACTACGACCAGGAGGAGGAGGAGGGATCGGTCACTGCCGGAGACGACAGCTCGGTCTCAGGGAGCAACCGCGGGAGCGCCACTGTGGCAGACGAGGAGCACCCGAGGAAGTCGACGTGCACCAACGCCAGCTTGGAGTCCTACAGAGGCAGCTCTGACTCTGTGAGGACACACACTTACACGCATCTGCACACGCGTGCACGCAGACATGTATGAGCAGCTCTGAAGTGAACTTTTATTTTTTTTTATTTGTTTTTTTACTGGAAAATGACAAATTTTGACGACTGTTGCACATCGTTCATTGTTTAACATTTAAAGCCTTGTTTCATTCTTTGTTCTTTTTTTTTTTCCAGTATGCAGACAGTGATGATGAGCATGACGGAATGATGGACACTGATGAGGAGGTGACCAATGGCAGAGTCATGTTGTTTAATGGAAATGGACCTCCATATTTCCATGGCTACCTCTACATGAAGGGTGTGTTTCTTTAAATCAAACCTTAGTTTTCTCAAAATTTTCATTGTAGCGTTCCTTTTAAAAAATTGTACCTTTTAATTTTTTCCTCTTCTTCCTCAGCCGGGCTGATGATTCCGTGGCGGAGGCGCTGGTGTGTGTTAAAGGACGAAACCTTCATGTGGTTCCGGTCCAAACAAGAGTCTCTGAAGTCGGGCTGGCTCTACAAGAAAGGAGGAGGCCTCTCCACCCTGTCACGGAGGTTGTTGTAGTGGTTACTGGGCTAAGCCTGCATGATAAGAAACATCTTAATGACAAAATAGAATTACATTTTTTTTTTTAAATTACATTGGTTACTGGGCTAAGCCTGCATGATAACAAACATAAAATAGAATTGTTAAAAAATATATTTATTACAAGGAGGTTGTTGTAGTGGTTACTGGGCTAAGCCTGCATGATAAGAAACATCTTAATGACAAAATAGAATTACATTTTTTTTTTTAAATTACATCTGACTTAGAGCACGTCCATGTGTTTTCACTGCATGTGTATGAATTAATGGTGGAGCAAAACAGTGCATGTTAGCAGTTAGCTTAAACACCTTTTCAGCAGAGTGCATGGCTAGCATGGGTTAGCATCACTAAATCAGAGCTAAATCGGCTTTTTTAATCTATTCTAACCACAGTTCTTATCCTCCCCCCCTGTTTTGAAGATTTCTACAGGACATGGTAATGTTTTAACAGTTCAAGACTTTTATTAAAAGATTTGAGCCGTAACGTAGCCAAGATCGAGCTTTGCAAGCAGTCAGCAAAATAATCCCAAAATATAACAAAAACAAAAGACTCCAGCAGTTGTTTCAAAGGAGAAAACAGGGTAAAAAAAGGTTCAGCTATTCTGGCAGACCATTCTGTGTCTATTTTTAAATTTCACAGCTTTATTAGATTTGCCTAACAGTGCATATAGAAGTATATTATCTATTTTATTCCCCATTGTATTCTTCACTTTTAGCTATCTTTAGTTAGAGTTTGTTTCTTAAATTAGAGTGAAATTAATGAACAAATTTGTTTTATGTCAGGAACTGGAAGATGCGTTGGTTTGTGCTGAGGGACAGTAAGCTGATGTACTACGACAACGACAGTGAGGAGAAGCTGAAGGGAACCATCGACATACGGGCTGCAAAGTAAGGAAATAATACAATTTAATTTAAAAACAAATGACATCCTGTTTGTGTCTGATCCTGAGTGAGTTTCTGTGTTCGTCCGCAGGGAGATCGTGGACAATCACGAGAAGGAGAACGCTCTGAACATCGTGACAGACGAGAGAACCTATCAGGTGTTTGCAGAGTCACCAGAGGACGCAAGGTGCCGTCGGTTGAAACAACAACAACATTTGGGCTGCGTAACAGTGTACATGCGTCCACTGATGTGTCCTAACACCTCTGTCTGTCTCTGCAGTGGTTGGTTTAACGTCCTGAGTAAAGTGCGTGTGTGCACTCCAGAGCAGCTGCTGGAGATGTCACATGAACAGGCCAACCCGAAGAACGCCGTGGTCAGTCTCTTCTTCTATAAATTTGATCTAGTCTGTCCTATCTTTCGGCTTATACGACAGGTTGCTAGCTCTTAGCTACATTTGTTAGGCTGATGCAGTTGTTTTGGCTAACTTTTACTTTTTACAACTTTTAGCTTAACAGCAGTTAGCCTTTTTATTATCTTTTTGAACTTGAATGAAATATAACAATATATTATATTAGATATTTTATATATAATATAATTACAGTTTATTTCCCCCGCTTTTTTTTAGGGAACCCTTGATGTCGGCTTGATTGACTCTGTTTGTGCGTCTGACAACCCTGATCGGTGAGTTGGATCATTCGATAAGAAAGCAGGAAAATTCAATCTTGGCCCAGTATTTATATGAAAGAAAAGAAAAACCCAATAGGAAATTAGCTGAGGTGAATCTGCGGACATTTTCACAAAATTACTGGCAGCGTTTTTCAAGTTTTTTTTCGTAATTTTAGTAGAATCCACATTTTTAAACTAAAAACCACATTGTGTTTATTACAGTATTTACTTCCACCTTTGTTTTTTAATCAAAAACAAATTCACTGGGTGAAGCTTTAAATTATGGCCAATAAACTTTAGTCCTTTAAATTTACATCACATCCGTACAGTTTCTGAGTTTTCTGTTTTATTCGTCCCTTCACAGGCCCAACTCCTTTGTCATCATCACCGCCAACCGTGTGATCCACTGCAACAGTGACACACCAGAGGAGATGCATCACTGGATCAGTCTGCTGCAGAAACCCAAAGGTGACGCCAGGATTGACGGCCAGGAGTTCCTGGTCAGAGGTGAGGATGGATTATTGAGTAATTCATTTTTTGTACAGTGTAAAAGCTGTAACTTCACACTATAAAATGACTGCGCCTTAATTCAGGATGGCTCCAAAAGGAGATGAAGACGAATGCTAAGAGCACCTCGCTGAAGCTGAAGAAGCGCTGGTTTGTCCTGACCCATAACTCTCTGGATTACTACAAGAGCTCCGAGAAAAACTCCTCCAAGATGGGAACGCTGGTCCTCAACTCCCTCTGCTCCGTCATCCAGCCGGACGAAAAAGTGCACAAGGCCACAGGTGAGGACGGAAGGAAAAAGGCAGAGTAGTGAAAGCTAATCTGGAGGTAAACACAGTACTAAGTACATACTCAGTACTACAACTGGGGCTTGAATTAAAGCTGTGGTAAGATCAGAACATTTTAACAAACACATTTAACAAAATCTATATATTTTTTAACTTTAAGGCATTAAACTTAAAAATACATACAGGCATAAAAAAATACAAAAGATAGTCTGATAAGAAGTATCTTTTGTGAAAGAAAAGTGTTGAATTCTGACAACAATGAAGCAGAAGAAATAGAAGGGAAAGCTAAAAGCAATAGCCAAGGATCACTTAAATCGGAAAGCTAAAAGCAATAGCCAAGGATCGCTTAAATCAAGCCTATAAGTAGATAAATGGTCAAATAAATAAATAAATAAATAAACCTAAAGGTTAACCAACATACAACATGCAAATATTTGAACTTTTTACACCTTTTTAAAAATCAGTTAATTACCCAGTATTCAGCTGTAAATGAGCAAAAAGTGAATTTAAAGTTGACATACCCAGACGTAGCATTAGCTTAGCTTACAAATGGGAACTTGTTAGCAGACGTAGCATTAGCTTAGCTTACAAATTGTTAGTGATTTGTTAGCTCATTCCATATCCAAAAGACAGTTTAGCATAAATATCCAGAAAGCTGCTTGAAAACTAGCCTGAATTATTAACGTACATTTTTCTAGAAAAATCTAAAAGTGGCAAAATGTAACAAAAATTAAACTGAAAATGTCTCATAGGAGCCAAAAATATATGTTATCTCCACCTTCCAGGTTACTGGAACATCATAGTGTACGGTAGGAAACACTCCTATCGTCTCTACACCAAGATGCTGAATGAGGCTATGAGATGGACGGCTGCTATACAGGGAGTGGTCGACAGTAAGACTCCCATAGAAACTCCGACTCTGCAGCTGATCAGGGACATCAAGGTACAGGACACCTCCGTGTCACGTCAGAGAACATTGACATTTACATGTCGCTCACGCACATGCTAACATGTTGTCTCCTCTCAGGACAACAGTGTGAACCCAGACATCGTGGAGCAGATGTACCGGAGAAACCCCATCCTCAGATACACCCAGCATCCTCTGCACTCCCCTCTGCTGCCACTTCCTTATGGAGAGGTCACAAGCTGTAAGTGCAACTAAACTGAGCTGAACCCAGGTCTACATCTTACCCAGATAGCATGTGGGCTACAGCGGGCAATGATTTAGCACCGTAGGCTTTAATGCAGCTGGGCTCTCACCCTTGTTTTTGGCTTGAGAGCTACTAATGAAACGACCAGGGTAAAGTGATCTACCAATATTGAAAATGTAAAATATATATTATACTTATATAAATTAAACATACTTTATATATACGTACATTATATGGTGGAGTAGTTTGATTAAATATATGTACCTATACAGCACAATATGATTTGATTCTTACTATATATGTTCACTACAACATGAAATATATATATATATATATATGTATATTTTTTTTCTCTTGAATTTGCAGTTCTCTGCTCTCTCCTTTGCTCCACTGGGATCATTTACTTCTGTGAATTTTCCCACTGTGGGACGAATGAAAGTCTTATCATATCTTTAAATAACTTTTGAATCTGAATCTGTATCTGAACATTTTTGTCTGTGGCCACGATGTAGCCATTTTGTGTCTCAGCCCTGGCAGGCAGAAGTTGACTTCCTGTCGTATGTGCTACAAATATTTAACTCTGTGTACGAGGCTGCAGAGCATCTGGCCCACAGAACCTTTTGCAGAATTGCATCATGTGTCCGTTCTCTACAGTTCGTCTACAGCTGGAGTAAACTGGATGTTGAAATGCTGTGGGATGCATACAGTAGGTTGCAGCAGCAATAGTTACATTTAAAGGCAACAGTGTTTTTACAGCTGTATTAAAATAGCACCAAATTAGCCTGCAGGAGTGAAGAAGCCTCCTGTAGAAACATCTTCTAGAAGACAGTCCACTTGTCTGTGTCTTAAAATGACCTTGATGACGTAGAACCTACACAGAACAGACAGTAAAGGCCCATTAACTGCATCTGGTCAATTTTTACTTTCAGCCTATGTAGGCTGCAGATCCTGAACTAGGCCACAGCTGCAACACAGACCCTGAACACAAACTGTTTCATTTACTCTATGCACCGTTACTGCCCTCTAGTGGTCAAACACATTTTTTAACCTCCTTTTTTTTATTGTTGCAGTACACAAGCAACAGGGTTATGCCAGTCTGCAGGATGAGGCAGTGCGAGTTTTCAACTCTCTGCAGGAGATGGAAACTCTGGCGGACACAGTGCCCATCATCCAGGGCATCCTGCAGACCTGCCAGGACCTGCGTCCTCTCAGGGATGAGGTATTGTCCACAATGTCTGGCTCTTCGTGTCTGTGATGTTTTACCTTTCAAATTGGGTATTTTGTTTTTAGATGTTGGTAAATGCAGTGTATTTCTTGTTTACAGGTTTATTGTCAGGTGATCAAACAGACCAATCATGTGCCTCAGCCTAACAGCCCGGCCAATCGAGCACACTGGCACCTCCTCACTTGCATGAGTTGCACCTTCCTGCCCAGTCGAGCCATCCTCAGATACCTCCGCTTCCACCTCAAGAGGTCACTGTGTATCTGTGATGTGTCTACAGTCAGGTTACATTTAAATGTGTCATTAATCAAAAGTCCGTGTGTGTGAACTCGGTCGGATTTAGGGTGCGTGAGCGATATTCCGGTAGCGAGATTGAGCGCTACTCATCTTTCATCGGGGAATCCCTCAAGAAGACCAAGACTCGTGAGTTTGTTCCGTCTCAGGAAGAGATCGCCGCTCTGCTGGTGAGGCAGGAGATGAGCACCACAGTTTACTGCCACGGAGGAGGCTCCTGTAAGATCTCCATCAATTCTCACACCACAGCTGGAGAGGTGAAGTTCAGACAATGACATGAAGCATTTATTAACCAGATTATTTAAAAGTCCGAAAACTCAAATGTGCTTTACCGCTGCTGTTGCTGCTGCTGCTGCAGGTTGTGGAGAAGCTGATCCGAGGTCTGGCCATGGAGGACAGCAAGAACCTGTTCTCTCTGTTTGAACACAACTCCTTCATTGACCGAGCTCTGGAGAGCAGAGTCATCGTAGCTGACGTTCTGGCCAAGTTTGAACGGTTTGCATAAACTCCTTAGACATGATCTTAATGTTGTTGACAACTATTGTGTGATGGGTTCATTTTAGATGCTTATTGAGTTGGAACAGTGGTTATGATTATGATGTGATTTTGAAAATACTTCAGAAACATCAAACATTCACACCTACATTCTTCAACCAAACTTATTTTTCAAATTAAGTTTCAGATGAAAACTGTTCTGCACCTGACCCACTCCACTCCAGTTCTGGTTTAATTTGAGTTTACTAGTAACCCCAAAGAGTCTATATTCAACTAATAAACAGTTCCACTAAGAAGGTTCTGACTTCTGACAAGAAAAGGGAAAACAAAAATACGGGTATAGGGCAGTGTCACGGCAGATGAAGAAATTGCCACCTACAGTCAAAGGGTGCAGATGTTGATTCAGTTTTGTTTGAAAAGATCAGAATTAAACCCAAAAGTCCAAAATGCAATAATCATAATTAAAAATTAATCCAAGGAGTTTCAATCTCTGGTTGTGTTATTTTGTATGCTCCCCCTTTGTGGTGATTTCTAAGTTTGCTGCCTGTTGTTTTGCAGATTGGCAGGTAGTGAGGAGGAAGAGGAGGAAGGAGAATGGAAACTCTACTTCAAACTCTACTGTTTCTTGGACGTGGAGAGCATGCCTAAAGAGGGAGTGGAGTTTGCCTTCATGTTTGAACAGGCGAGTTTTTAAGGTCTAAAACAAAAAAGATAACAGAGCCCAAAACGTCGTAATTGTATCCCTTTTTTGTTTCTAAAATGTGTGTGTTTCTGTCTCAGGCTCATGAGTCTCTAATAAGCGGCCACTTCCCGGCCTCTGAGGAGACTTTACAGCACCTGGCAGCCCTACGTCTCCAGTATCTTCACGGTGACGGAGCAGGTCGGGCTGGCTGGAGTTTAGGAAATGTTTATCCCATCGGGCGTCTCCGAAATCGCATCCTTCACTCCACCAAACCAGGAGTGGGGTCTGTAGTTGGAGCGGGTGGAGGTGGAGGAGGAGGAGCAGGAGACGGGAAAGGTTTGACAGGAGTACAAGGAGTCGTTGGTGTCAGCATAGAGAAAAGAAAGACGCCGAGCTTCCTGGACGGAACTCTGAGGAGGAGCTTCAAGACTGGGTCACTGAAGAAGCAGAAGGTTTGGGAGGATTTACTGCAAATACAAATGCTGACAGTACTACAGTATTGAGATGAAAGATGTGATAGAACTTTACATGTGTATTTTAACACAAAATTGCAGAATTAAATAACATATATGATGAAGCTAATGTTACATTAATGTTAATGTATCCAAGAGATGGCTTAGCATTAGCCAGGGTTAGCTAAATTTGATAAACATACAGCTAAAAGAAGAAAAAAAAAATATCTATGAGGAAAACTTTAAAAAATTTAACCTAGAAATCGTGCTAAATTTGATAAACATACAGCTAAAAAAAGCAAAAAAATATATATCTATGAGGAAAAGGATTTACCTAGAAATCGTAAGAAGTCAAGAAAACTTCGGAAAAAAGCAAACAAATAGGACCTAGAGTGCCCTCTAGTGCGTAAAAATTAAACTATATATCAAATTATATATTTTAATATATAAGTCGCACCTGAGTATAAGTCACAAACCCAGCCAAAGGATGGAAAAAAGTGCAACGTATAGTCTGGAAAATACAGTATTCTTCATGTCTTTTTTGAACTCCCTGCTGTTTCTTCAGGTGGAGGAGGAGCAGATGCTGGAGATGTGGGTGAAGGAGGAAACATCCGCCACTCGGACCAGTGTTCTGGAGAAGTGGACCAGGCTGCAGGGAATGCCTCAGCACCAGGCCATGCTTAAATACATGAGCATCATCAAGGAGTGGCCTGGATATGGATCTACTTTGTTTGACGTGGAGGTGAGAACAGAAGAAGATGAAGAAGGAGGAAGAGGAGCATGAAGAAAGTTTAAAAAAACATTTTTTATTTTGATGTAACTGTAACTATGACTCTCTTGTTTCAGTGTAAGGAGGGTGGTTTCCCCCACGACCTGTGGCTGGGTGTAAGTGCTGACAACGTGTCCATCTATAAACGTGGAGAACCCAAACCTCTGGAGACTTTCCACTATGAACACATCACCTTCTTCGGAGCTTCACAGCCGTGCACCTACAAGGTCATCGTGGACGAGAGGGAGATGTTCTTTGAGACTCCTCTGGTGAGAATTAGCAGCTTGTTGTTGATGTATTTATAATTTTTTAAAAACACATTTAAGGTTTGTAATGTCAACTGTAAGTGAGATATTCTAAGTGTCGGATTGTTTTTAATTCCTAGTTTGATGCATTTTTTTTTCACTAAAATTGTACTGTTAGCCACTAAGTAGAGTTTGTAGAGTGAGGCCAATCGTTTGGTAAAAATAGTTGAAAATGTAGCTATTTAACAAAATTGTAATCAATTGCTCCAAAGTAATTTTAAAACAGCTTAATATTTGCTAATTGGCAAACGTTTTGTAGAAGAAAATTAAAAACATTTTATCAAGTAATGTGCAAAAGATGGCACAAGATTCTCTAAAGTTACACTGAAATTTGAATGTTAAATGCTCAATTTTATCATACATGCCGTAGTTTTACATTTCAAACCCTAGGTTGGCGATATCCTGAGTATAAAAATTAAAATATTTTCCAATTACTGATAACAGATATCCTTGTTAAAAGGGTTCATTCGTTTAACTCTTCCTTACCCATTAGGTGGCAGAGATCACCAAGATCATGAGGGGCTACATAAACATGGTGGTGAAAAAACGTTGCAGCATCATGTCAGTGTCCAGCGTCTCCAGTTCCTGGACGAGGTGATTACTACCAGCCAATCAAGTAAGAGTTGATCCAGAGGCGGAAATGATGCCGTGGTTGGTTCTGAAGGAGATCCAGCTGATCCTCAAGGTTGCATCACGAGTGTTGGAAGAGAAAAAAAAAGTGAAGGGAGATGAAGGGCAAACGCACACTAAAGCCAGCCTGGGTTTCACGTTGGGAAAAGGGATCCACTATGTAAAGGAGCATGGCAAAAAAAAATCAACCTCTTTTTAAACACGTTTCACTCGTTTAGTTGACGTCCTGCATGTCGGTGTTCAAGCACACACCAAACATCCTTGATAGGAGAAACACAAGCACAACTCAGCTTCTCCCAGGGTGGCTCCCTTCTCCCCGTGGGTGCACTGCCGCACAGATAGAAGCCACATTCTTGCTCAGTTACATTTGTTTTTCTCACCTCTCCTCAGAGTCTCTCTCTCTCTCTCTCTCTCTCTCTCTCCCTGTGACCTCACGTCCTGCTGCATCTTTATTTGCTCTTGTTATTAATTGCTTGAATCTTCTGTGTTATTTTTGTCTCTGAAATCATCGTGTATGAGTGAGGAAAAAGACTCACTGATCATGACTCCTCTTCAGGGCTGCCCTGCCCAACATTCAGTGTTCACTTGCTGACTCGTCAATGCCACTGTGTGGCCACAGGAGGTGTGAATCGTTTTGAACATTGAACAGATATAATAGATGAAGAACGAGTGACGTTTTCTGCGACAGAGTCTGTGTGGTCCAGTTCATCCTGACAGGAAGTGCATGGAATAGTAAAAGACACAACATTTCCCTCTATATATAAATGAACACGCGCAGCATTAATCTACTGTATAGTCACCAACACGTGCGCGTGAAGTGAATGGACATGTAACATTTTGTACTGTATATCACATAATATGAGAATTATTATTGAATTTCCAGTGGCTACTGCACTGTACAGTATAAATACAAATATATACCATAGTAAAATGCAATGTGACACCTCTCGTGCAGTTCAATGGCGTTGATCACGACCACCCTTTGTTTGAATTTGATGCCAATGCTGAACACCACTCACTGGCTGTGCCATTAATGTGACTCCAAGACAGAGTGAACAGAAACGTGGACTAACAGAAATGGGGACATACCACAGCGGTGGCAACACTTTGAGATGTTTTAATAGATTAAATATCATTACTGTTATGTGTATGTGTGTGTGAGGTTGACCTTAGAGCAGTGTTTCTCAAACAGTGAGGGCAACAACAATGTTTATCTGAGTTTGTCTATCATTTTTAAGCACTTATTTTACACTAAATCAACAATTTTATTGGAGTAGTAGCATTGAATCTAGTGGCTGAAAACACATGGTTTTGGCTGAGTTGTTGTTTACTCTGTGGGCTAGGTAAATATCAGTATTTACCTGACTGTAAAAAAAAGTACTATATTGATCCAATATTTGGGAAATTGTTGTGTTAGCAGCAGATATGCTGTTAACAGTCTGCCCCTAGCAAGCACCAAGCACATGGCTCCTCTGGGAATCAAACCCAGGACTCTTTTAAGGCAGGCATGCTAACCGCTAAACTATGGAGTTTAATAATACTACGCTTTATTTGAAGATCTGCACTGATACAGTAGTTTTCACTCAAAATTGCTGTTTTGAAGTTTAAAAAAACACTTAAAATGATCCATAATCCTCTTAAATAATAAATATTTAGTCAAACGTAGATACAGCATAGTCCTCAGTGTCTGAAAACACAAATGATCCATAATCCTCTTAAATAATACATTTAGTCAAACGTAGATATAGCATAGTCCTCAATGTCTGAAAACAAAAGCAATAATTTTCTGGTAGATTTGTAGTCATCTCTTAACGTGCTCAAAATATCATTACCAGTGCAATGAAACATTCTCAGCTTTCCTAAAAAGACATCATCATGTGTTATTAACCATGGTGAATGAACTGTGTCACCTATTGCTAAGGTCCATACCAAGGGTCACTGGAAGAATCACAGTTTGTAACTGCCTTTACAAACTCCATTGAGGTGGAAAGAACAAGAGCATGTTGCGTAGCATTTGAATCTATATTTTGAGCATGTTACAGGTAAAAAGCACAATTTGAGAAACGCTGCTTTAAATCTTCACACGGAGCCATAGCATTCTGTACATGCTTGTCTGCTCAGCCTACTGTCACCATTTTTTTTCTCCAATGATTGACTGTCTGTGACTTTTTGATACTGATACTACTACTCTATGTGAGTCTATTAATGGTGTAACCCATACATTTGTTAAAGAAAGGGAACCGAAGACAAGATTAATGGTTTTATTGAGTGTATTCCTCAGATATGAGATGTATTTACATGAGTAACCTTTGCTAAGAATGGTGTTGTGCTTGTGATTTAAAGGGAAAAGCATGGGATTTCAAGGGAGGGTACGTGGTTATTTATTTCTAACTGTACTGTATGTATATTAAAATGTATGTTTGGGCCAATGGAGTTATAGAAAATAGAAACAGGAGGCGTTGGTGAGAAGAAGCAGAAAAGACACTGTGAGGAGAAAACTACAGATTTTGGTTGATGGAAGTAAAAGCAGAGAGTTGTCACTGTTTTGTGAGTGTGTGTGTGTGTGTGTGTGTGTGTCTGGAGAGTCACCACTCCTGTGAAACATCACCTAACTGTGTGGCACTACAGGGAGGTGGCAGGATTCCACTAGGGTATAAAACAAAAAAAAAGTGTTTTCCTGTCGACTATCCAGTAGGAATACATCACGTGTGTGCTCATTATGAAGCTGTTGTCAAACTACACGTCGCTAAAGTTTGTAATGTCTTAATTGCAGTGAATATTTCAATATTTCTCTCCAAAGACAGTTGCAGTCATTTGTGATGCATTTGTGACCTCCACACAGGGCTCATCGCAGGACTTTAAAAACTACTGACATCCTCGACCTTCAACTAAATCTGTACAAATGCCAATAATGATGATTCTTTATAGTTCAGACATTTAATGATGTGTTTGTACTCGGAGTTAGACCCCAGTGTTTTTAACTTTGGGGTATGCTCGAATTCTGTGAAACATGGAACATGTAGACCGTCTGCAGGGGGAGCTATAAAACATTTTGAAATACCTGTTGAATGGGTTGTAAATGTAATTCTGTTACATTTGTGAAAGTTTCAGGGAATAAAAAACAATATTTTAAAACTTTAGGGCTTAAAGAGTTAAAATTCAATGGCATTAAAACCAATTAAATTTGATTTGAAAAACTACTTTAAAATTAAACTACAATTCTGCTTCAAATTGGATTTAAAGGCACAAAATAATACATTTTAATTTTGTTGTTGAAATAGGAAACGTTAAAATTGATGGCAGCTCATCCTCCACTGAACCGCATTAGTGCCACCTGCTGGGTGAATTGCCCATTATTGTCAATTTCACCCCTTATGCCAGTTTCTTCTGTTCCATTGATATAATTCTGTGTTGTTTATTAAATTCCTGCATACTCTACTGTTATCGATGCTAAAGATTTTGCCCATAGCGATAGAACAATTCAGAACAATAGAATAATTGAGTCTTGGGCTAATACCAGTGCCAAATGCTAATAGAATAATAATAAAGTGTATGAGCTATAGCAAGACCCAGCCAGCATGTCTACGTGTGACCCACATGTTTGACAGCATTAAACTAATGTTGGTTTGGAAGAGTCTGTCGGCCACCGTTCCTCTTCTACACCTGTGCTTCTGTCTCTCATCGACATTATACGTACGTCAGTAGGAGGAAGTTGCCTGACACCGGACGACGTGATGTCCATTATACGTACGTCAGTAGGAGGAAGTCGCCTGACACCGGGCGACGTGATGAGTGACGTTCCACTGGAGAGATCAACCAAATGAAACAGTTTGACGTATCTAATCACAAACCTGTCTTTCACAGCGGGTCCTGTCAGCAGCCGCAGGCGGCCAGAGTGGGGCCTGTTCTTAATTATGTTATGCTAATTATCACCATTACCCGGTAAAATGTTGTGCTTGTATTAAAAAAAAAGGAGAAAGAGAGAGATATGTGTGTTGTTTTTTTGTAACTGGCTTTACAAAGTTATGCTTTAATAAATTATTACGAATTGTCCTCTAATGCTGTGTGCCGTCGTTTATTTGAACCTCCAGGAGACTCTTTGTTTACTCTGTTAGTATTTTGTTCATTTTTCTGTTAAAAACTCTTTTTTTCTTTTCAAGCTACAGTTCAATAATAGCATAAGTAAAGTTATTTATTCATTTTTTTATTCTATTATGTAAAACTATTATTCCTACAGTAGTCGGTACATTAATGGTTGAGTTTGTGTGCTCTGGATTGGGGAACGAAATCTCACCTCGGACACTAAAACGGCTGTGGATGTGACTACGACGCAAACACTATATCAACTGTTTCCAAAGTGTTTTGGGTGTTACTTCGTGTTAAAACAAAAATACACAATGTTGACCAAAAACACTGCAGGAATATCCTGTGTTTATTGGATAACAAAACAAAAAATGCAAATGGCTGCCCGGGCTCCAGAATTTCTCTTTCAGAAAAAAGTTTTAAAACTTTGTAAGATACATTACAACGTTAAGTAATTTGAATAGCTTTTCTCAATTAAAGGTTTTTAAATTAATTGCATAATTATATCACCTAATGGATCTTTCATTCCTTTTATGATGAAGTCCATGGTGACGCAGACGCACGTCGTCTCCTCCCTGTCTTTGATGCGTAGCCACCTGCGTCAGGTTTTTCTTTGCTCCTCCTTAACTTCACTCTTCCAGTTTGAGTCGTCGACAGTACAAGTTAGAACTTTTCACCCCAGCTCTCACGGTGGTCTCAAATCCGACCAGACTTGAAGAAACACCAGACATTAACGACTTGGAATAACCTGCCTGTCGGTGTCGGGAAAAATGAATTTACGCTGTTTACTGCCGGCTGTCCTGCTGGTCATCGGTTTGGCGACGGTTTCCGCGCAGACCACTGAAGTCGGTAGGAAAACAAATATTGAAAAAAAAAAAATTAAATGTAAAATATTGTACGAATAAATCAGATAGATAATATGTAGGAGTGTGAACAGGAAGAACATTCTTAGATATATAGTCAAGTTACAATTACTCACCGGTTTGTCCACTCGTTAATGTGGATTAATGTCATTTTAGAGGTGACAATGGCTCTAACTGAGAGCTGCCCAAACCTCCACCAGGTGAAGAGGATTCGATTTGATAAAAAAAAAACATGGAGTTCAGTTACTGTGTGTGTCAGAAAAACATGGAGACACAAAGACAAAGTGGACTGTTTGGTCTCATGGTCACAGTTCTGTGTGTGGGTCTCCATAGAAAAACCATCTCAGTGGGATTAGCAGTAGTTACAGAAACCAAGGCAGCAGCAACAGCAGCAGCTGACTTCTAATCTGCTGCCACTGGGGTTTCCACTAATGCCACTAATCTCCCTCCACAGTCACTAAAGTTTTGTTCTTTTTGTAACCAAAAATAAACCTGCTGTGTTTTCTTTCCACAGTTTGCGAGACAAAGAATGGGACGAGCTGTGATGAATGTCTGAAACATGTGTCGGTGAGTGCTGCCACAAATCTCCTGGATTCATTTTGTCGGTGTGTGTGTGTGCGTACGAGTTAACTACAATATTAACAGCTATGTCCCAGGAGGAAACACAACAGGCTGCTCCTCCTCCTTCCCCCTCCACCATCACACCTGTTAGACCGGTCTGAGGAGCACTTGATCTGTCAGCTGTGTGTGTGTGTGTGTGTGAGAGAGAGAGAGCTGGGCCAAATACCTTAAACTCAAATGCTTGTTCCTTTGTTTGAATAATGGAGACTGAATTGTCACTGTTGTTGCCATGTGTTTCCCTCTCAGTGCTTGTGGTGCATCAGCTCCAAGTCGTGTCTCACCTACCCAGTCAAGGCCATCCTGCCTCCACATGACCTCTGCCCCCTCAATGATGCCCGTTGGGGTCTCTGTTGGAGTAAGAGACCAGACACAAACACAAACACAAAAATATGGCCATGACACCAGTTTGGGCCTCAGGTTTCCAGGCTCATGGCTTCTGCACTTTAATTCATATTAATACCCAACCAGTAGTGTCAAAATACACTTGATTTCACGTGATTAAAGAATTTGGCTCAATCACTGGACATTTTACAGCTTAAGTACAGCCTAACTTTTTTAAGTTTTAGTTTTTTTAATTGGTCGTCAGTTCTTTTTCATGGAATAACCCTGTAGTTGAGTTGGTTTAATATTTTTTTGAAATATTAACTTATTTTATTTTTTAATGATTTTGGTGAACATTTACAAAAGCCTCAATTTTAATTAAAAAGTGACCTCATGTTGAATATTTTTACCTAAAGTTCGAGTGAATCCAAAAAAATTATTTATTTTATAAGATTCATTAGCTGCTAATTCAGCTATCTTGTGTTTTTTATGTAGGAAAGTTGAAAGGTTTTAAAGATTATTTTATGGCTAATTAGGTTACCTGTATTTATTTAATTATGACGTAAACACAGACTTTAGCAGCACTAAATAGTTTTGTTGAGATGCAGAGTATTTTATTTTCCACCTAATCATAGCCCTAAGGCAGGAGGAGCCATTGGCCTTGAGTTGTTTTTAATCTTCCCTGGACGCTCCTGGAACAATGTATTTCTGGCCACACCCTCCAATTTTCACCTAAACGTCTTCCATGTTCTTTTCCATGTACTCTGTCAACATTTTCTGCTCCTACCGGTTTGTGAGGTTGTTGACAATGACGCAACCTCCTGAACAAACAGAAAAATTACTCAGATGGTGTTTTACAGCCAGGATTGTGCCTCAACTACAGAAATACAGCAGAAGCAGAAGAAATTAAAACCATGATGGTAGGGTTGTATGGAGTGATGCTGGAATAATAGTGTTTTCTGCCTGTTTTTACAGTGAACTTCCAGGCTCTGATTATCAGCTTGTCAGTAGTGGGCAGTGTCCTCATAATTGCCCTGATGGTTTGCATGTTCTGCTGCTGCAAGTGTGAGAAACTTGGGTAAGTTTGTGGTGACTAATGATTTGTAGGAACACAGCGATGACTCCTCTGCCTCGTGTTTTCTGAAATTATTGGGTGGTGTTTGATTGTGTGTCATGTCATTCGATTTCCTTAAGGGTTTGAGCTTCTGAGAGGTTGCAAATTGCAAGAACAAACTGAGACGTTAACACTACAATCACATTTCTGACTTGTAAAACTGTTAAAATGTACAAAATGAAATTTCCATATCTGTGAAGTAGCTAGGGTAGAGGTAGTAGCCGCTAACTTGCTAACAGGCTTAAAAAAACGGAAATGTCACTCATAAAAACTTTTTTTTTTAAAAAGCTATTTTGTTGAGTTACAGACAGGCCAAATCCAGAATTAGCAGCTGTAGCTAAAACTAACTGTCAGTCCTAATGCTTCCAGAATTAGCAGCTGTAGCTAAAACTGTCAGTCCTAATGCTTTTTTTCTCCCATATGCTTTTCCTTTTAGAGCCAAGAGGTTGGAGGCCAAGATGCAGAAACAGGCTGCAAAGACAAAATACAAACAGGATGAAAGGTATTTAACATGTGTGTCTCGCAGTTTTTTATATTTTTATATGATTTACTCTTATTTCATTTATGTATAATTACTAATTCGTTTTCACTAGATGTCTTTACTGCAGCGTTTCCTATACTTTTTGTAATGGGAGGACAAATAATATTTTCATTTTATATATTAAACCAAGCCAGTGCTATGTCAAAATAAGTGACTAGGTCTGTATGCTGGAACACTGAAATGGACCAGAATTAACCTTAGATTGTACTTTTTCCAATGTCTTACCAATTAATTAATACAACATATTTAAAATGATACATACTTTTTTGTCTTAGTGACACTGTTTTCGTAAGTTAGCTAAACTTTAGAGATGTTTATTGGTTAAATACTATCGTAAGTTAATCTGTGTCGATTGTTTTCTATCAGATCGTTTTGTAAAAGAAAATGAAATCTCAGTCCAGTTTTATTCTGTCATTGTGAGGTTAACTCACCTTTGTTAAAAGCACTTCGTGTTTATCTAGAATAGGGCTTCACGTTACAGGAACACTGTCTTCCCACAGAGCCCTGTCACACTTCCTCAGCCATGTTTCCTGATATTTGATATTTTTTCTCATTTATTTACACATGTTGTTGGTTAAATGTTCCAAGAACTACTCAGGTTTGGACCCTAGCCTTTAGCAGCAGTAACTGATGATTGACCGTGTGCTAAAATAATAATGACATGAATGACAACGTCCTACATGTTCGAGTTACATTTACACCACTTCACCTTAGTCATTTCCTTGGTCTTATCACACACAACATTATCAGATTCCATCGTTGCACGACAGCTGCCGTATTAGTTACCACGTCACACCCATGTCAGCCCAGACCGGCTTTGAGCATCATTACTTCAAGGAATGTCTGAATTAAAAATAATGAAAACTGTTTTTCCTTCCTGAAGGAGAGCAGAGACGAAACAAAGACATGAAGAAATGAGGAAGAAATATGGTGAGTTTTTACACTAACAGCTACAACTCGGTGACTGAGTTCTCTTTTGCTAATTCAGCCGCTGCAATTCTTAGCTAACACTTAGATATATTCGGCTAATTTGTGGCTAGTCCTGCATACTCCCAGATACTGTGCTGTTTACATTTGTATCTATTATACAGTAGTGGCTTGCATTCCTTAGTTATGGCTTCCTCTAATGTTTGTGTTTTGCTCTATGTATTTTTTTTTTAATTTTTACTTTTTCTTATTTTTCTTTTAACTGTATTATTACTGTTTGACCAACTTGGCTACAGTTTTACCAGGCTAAGCTAATATGTGTTGCTGCAGTAATAATCCTGCTTTGCTACGTACTTGACCCTGATTCAGAATCAGGTTCCTTGGTCAAAGTTTCTGACAAGTTACTTTTTTTAAAAAAAAAAACAAACGTTTTTATTGTAATGTGAGGAAAGGTAAGATGAGAAGATGTGGGTACACTTTTAAAAAAAAAACAAACAAAAAAAAGTTTTTATTGTAATGTGAGGAAATGTAAGATGAGAAGATGTGGGTACCGTCAATAAATACAGTACTTTGGAGAGAAATAAAATATTTGTACAGACACAATGAAGAATCCGAGCAAGCTAAGGTTAATTTACCCAAAGTTGAAAGCTGGACCTTTTGAGTTCAGTGTTTTGTCTCATCTCTGTACGTTAAAGACAGGAAACAAATGTTCGTTGCGTGTGTTTAACCTGTGACTTGCGTTATCTTTGCATTCTTTCCATATTTGTTCACCTACGATGCAGTTTTGTAGGCCAGAGCAATAGAAACCATCATCCACTGTGACACTGTCCATTGTTTTGTTTTGTTTTTTCTCTGTTTCCACATCAGCGCTTGTGATGGCAGAGGCTGAGTAAAACACTCGATCATTTCAGTGTGACAACTTAATTTACATCCTACTGCTTCTAGCTTCTAGTATCTGAACTCTTTTAACCTTTTTGAGTTGCATTTCTCTTATAGAACACACAAAAAGTCTCTAAAACAAGCAGTACGATACGTTTTGTTCAATTGAACTTGGATATTTTATTCTTCTTGTTTAGTTTTAGTATTTAACCAAAAACCTTTGTTGTTTGCAATGTTTTGTTTTTTTTTTACTGGCAAAAATCCTGCTTGAAATCGTTGTACGAATAATTTTCATGTTTGCTGTTTCTCCAGGTCTAAGTGGACAAAACCCATACTCTAGATTTGCATGAGGACCATTCAACACAATGCTCTGTCTGTGCCTGGCCACTAGTTTCTCACATCATCCACGGACAGCATCAGTGTGCCTTTTGGTTGTGAGCAAGGCCAAAAAAACGAAGTGAATCAATGTAAACTATGATTAACCTTTATATCAGAAAAGTGACAAGACTTTGGTCAGGGCTGCCTTTAATTGTCATTTAGCTGGTGAGTGAATGTTGTATGTTCACTGTCATGATCAAAAAGAGAAATAACAGGCAGTTTGAGGGTGTGTTCAACCTTGGCAGATAATGCTCTTATTATCACTGATCACTCCAACCTTTGTGAATGTTACCATACCGACCTTTCGTCTCGCTGAGAAACTGGACCAAGCTGGACTGGTGCTGTTTGACTGATACATGAACCTTTCACACAACATTAGATCGAACCATAAAGAAGACAAAACAGAAGCTACAAGATGCCAAAAAAAAAATCTGTCAAATAATATAGACTAGAAGAAGTGTATGCTAACTCCTCACTGCTACAATTAATTTGGATATTCCATGCAATACAGTGTGACATCATCAGTAACATGGGCCAATTGGACAGTGATTTTATCCACATCACTGATTTGGTCTAATGATCGACGGCAGTGTAAACTCGAAACCTAAAAAGAGCAAACTACAAGTGTGAACACACCCCGGACTGTGGTCGTCTCACCATGTGGTACCTATCGTATCTGCCGACTTACACTTATGTTAGGTTAACTTTAAGTGTACAAAATAGAATGAATCCTTTTTGTGTAAGGTAATCTATTGCACCTGTAAATGTTCAGATAATTATGTCAGGTTATTGTTTCAATTAGAACGATACTGTTTAGATGTAATCTATTTTTATACTGGGTGTTGGAGGCCGTTTTCATTGCGTCAGTACTTTTGAAAAACATCTGGTTACTTTATTTAGGGGTCATAATTACATCCTTATCCGCGCACCTTGAATATAGCTATCTATGTCTGTTAAGTTAAATGTGACTTACATGAATGTGATGATCCTTGGATTTAAAATTAGCCTATTTCTACTGTTAGCCATCCGCCATTAGCCTACAATGACCTAAAGGCCTATTATTAAGGCCCATTCTTAAGTCAGTAATACTGTTTTTAGTTGTTTGTGTATTGCCTGACTTGCAGTGTGCATTTAATAAAACTGTTTTTATCTTTATATTTGTGTCAAATTTATTTTTTGTCAAAAGGTTTTAAGGTGAGTTATAATTATAAAAAGCTTCATATTTTATCAACTAAACGTGTAAGGACATATCTCTCAGGGCTCGGGATAAACATTTTTAAAACATTTTAACCAATCTCAAATGCAACAGGTTTTGATCTAGCTCCCATCAGATTTTTTTTGTTTGTTTCCCATGATTGAAAGCAACTGGATTTTTAAAACTTTGTTTTACTGAAAAATTTATATTTGAGCAATTGTACAATATATACTGTTATGTGAAATACAAGATTAGCAGCAATATTTAATTAAAAGATGAAACCATAGATCATTCTTTAAAAATTGAGTTCATTGAGTTTCGTTCTTTACTTTAATTTTTGGGTTTTTTCTGTTCCAGTGATGAGTCAACATAATCAGCATAACTGATAATTGTGCTGGTAGTTTGAATCACCAGTTTGTGTGTGCCAGTATGTGATATCCTATCTAAATTAAGGGAATACATAAAGACAAGAAAACTCGATTGACTGACAGCTGAGCTGCCCAATAGAAGCGTTGTTACAGGTGACGTACACGCCGATTCAGTTTTGTTGTTGTTCACAACGTATTGGTTATAAACCAAGAAAACATTTGAATGAAGTATTTTTGACTTATTTTCTAGAACAAGGACTCGAACATTTATAATTTTTTGGCACTACAACACAAACTCGTGGTGCTTAAAAACACAAGTTCGGAGAAACTAAGCGTTCATTTATTATCATTAAGTTATTATAGTAAACAGCATAACAGAAATAACCAAATAATGTATTTGGAGCAAATGGTCGAAGCTTTACAATCGTTTTAAAATGTTAAAGTCTCGAGCTCGACTATATTGAATTGGTGCGAGCTTCCGCTTCCGCGCCCCCGCGATTTGTAGGTCACGTGGACACCTTTGAACCAATTACGTAGTTGCGACAGCGGTTCAAGGCGCGCTCCCGAAAGCAGCGGATAAGACAGGAGAGAAGGCGGCTGAGAGACAAATAAAACCCAATTAACTGATTCTTGCGGAAAAACAGGGCAAGGAATAAAGACAGGATGTCAGAGGAAAAACCAAAGGTAACGAATACAGATAGATTTTTATTGTTGGTAGTTGTTGATGGCTGCCTGGAGCAACCAATGTTCTGATGTGCAATCTAAAATGGCCTGGATTTGCACGTTTCGCTGAAACGGCGCAGTGTTTGTTTCGCAAATGAATGAACGCCCGCAAAGCGAGGCTCAAACTGAACTAGACTGGCGGAAACCAGAGCTGGACATTGTTATAGTTTTAACCACATGCATAGTTCCACTTAAATATGAAGAGGTGTAATTTACAGCCCGATGTGCATTTGCGGATTTTTGTTCTTTGTCGAAGCGGCACCACGTTCTGTCCGCAACGCTGCAAATGCCGCAACTGCAGTTGGTACAAAGGAGCCCTAATGAGAGGTGACGCACTCGTTAAAAAACACAACAGGACGTGATTTTTGTCCTCGCTTTTAATGTTTTCCTGCACGTGTTCGATCACAGTTACGTTACAGAGATGCTAACAGCCTTAGCCGGGCAGATAAACTGAGTCGTGTTTTGAAAAACTGCGACTACTTACCACCGGAGCTAACATGCTAACGTTAGCGTGTGTGTGACCTGTTCCTTACGTGTTTGAAAATGCAAAAATGTAAAAATGTGTAATATTTGAACATTCAGTCATTTAATTTGTGTTGTATTTTATGTTTAGCATTTAGTACGGCCCCATCTTTTATTTTGAAATTACCTTTAAAGCATCAGACTGTCAGTTATCCGAATATTGACGAGTGGCCTAAATAAATGTCGCAAAAATGATGCCTCGATGTTGAGTTAGATTTTTATAACCTACTAATATATGTGGAAAAGTGAAGTCATTTGAATTTACATAAAAACATGATTATTTATAGTAATAGTGTATAGTAAAATCACCGGCTCCTTTAATAGCTATGTTTATCTTAGCTCGTTAAAATGGGTTGTCGTGGCAGTGCTATAAAATTAAACTTGTAGGTAAACACGTTAAGGAGATTCAGCCCAAAATATGTCTCTTTTTTAAGGCTACATTTGTTTCTGTTGGCCCTTTTCGACCTACTGTCTTATTTCCCTATCTTTTTCATTTTTTCCTCATCTGCAGGAAGGAGTAAAGACAGAGAATGACCACATCAACCTGAAGGTCGCAGGGCAAGATGGGTCAGTGGTGCAGTTCAAAATCAAAAGACACACACCTCTTAACAAACTAATGAAGGCGTACTGTGAAAGACAGGTGAGTGCAAAGCCCTGATTTCTTTCTTTCCTGTATGTGTATGTCCCATCCACACTGCTACATATAATATTTTCTGATTTCTTTCTTTCCTGTATGTGTATACCCCATCCACACTGCTACATATATAATATTGATAACTGTGAACCACTTTTAAGATAAAGCAAACATTTAAGCTGAACATCACAGACCGTGTAAGAAGTTTGTTATGGCTTTTTATGCCCTGCATCTAATGTACAATGTATGTGTTTTAAATGAGTTGTGTGCACTTAGCTATAATATAAGTAGTTTTTATGCCTGTTTTGTTTTTGCCAAAAGTCTTCATCTCTGTTGTTTTTCCCTGTAGGGTCTCTCGATAAGGCAGATCAGGTTCAGGTTTGATGGGCAGCCTATCAATGAGTCGGATACACCCGCACAGGTGAAGCCATCCATTTGAAATCCTATTGTAATTTCCATTGTCCTTGAAATTGCCTTGGTTGCAATGTGCATTGACTTATACACTACATTGACTTAAAAAAAAAAAATTATTGTAAACAAGTCACAAAATACAGTGACAGCATTTCATTGTGGTTTAATAGTGTGAAAGAATAGATAGACAGATTTTATTTTGTTGTATGACTATATTTTTTTAGTTTTTTTTTTTTGTCCACTAATTGGAGTGTCTGTCCCATTGTCCTTCACAGCTGGAAATGGAGGACGAGGACACCATAGACGTTTTTCAGCAGCAGACAGGCGGCCACTGCTAAGCCATCTCATTGACAGCCGCCCTTAGACCACGCCCTTTCCCAGCCTCCTCCCATCTGTCATTGCTCCTCTCACATTATTATTAATATTATTATTATTATTGTTATTTCCAGATGTCTTTTTTTTCTGTCGTGTGTGTGGGAGGGGCTCCTCAGCTCTTTATGTACAGTCTCCACCAGGACCTTTGTGTGTCAGCTAGTGTTTTTGCTGGTAATCTGGGAATTGTATTTTTCCTACTGAAATTACAGCCTGTGATTGGACCTGCCGCTTTGCCTGACGCTTCAGTGCTTCTTGTCAAGTCTCCAACAAAAGCAAGGTGCAGTAGCCTGTGACAGTTGATTTTAATCAAGCGAGGAGACACTCCCCCAACACGAGAACCCAAACTCACTTTCCCAATTTCTACTTTGCTTTGCTGTCCTAATGTCGACACCCATTCCAACCCTCTGTCATAAATGTGTTTTAATTCTCCACCATTCTGTTGCTTTTGCCTATGGGTTCTGCAAGTTTTGAGGGGTGGGGGCTTCTTTTTAAGATTTAAGCAGGGAGAATATTTGTTATTTTTGTCTCCTGTACAGAAGTATCAGAATGGATGTTAGATAAATGTCGTGGGACTTGGACCAATACTTCGAGGACTGATCTTCCTTCTGTTAATCACCGGCTTTATTTGGATCACTGACAACAACGAGCTGCGAGATTAAAACAGTCAGGTCTCAAGGGGCTTCTATTTCAACCTTGTCATTAGCTGCGAGATTAAAACAGTCAGGTCTCGAGGGGCTTCTATTTCAACCTGTCTTTGAGACTGATATGGAAAGATTGTACAGACCAATATCCAGTCGTCCAGATACGTGACTTTGGTGGGTTAGCTGCCTCGCCTCTGTTGTTTTAAATGAAGGTTGACAGGAAAACTGTTTAAGGGTAAGACCTTCTGTAATGATCAGAGATGTCAGAAAATGTTAGTATATCTGAGGTATGTTTTTCTTTTCTATCCCACTACGGTTGATGCTTTGTCAGAACTCCTTGTCAACTATCAACATCTGCATTTTGTGCTCTCCACAAGACAAAAGTTGCAGGTTGTATTGTTCAAACAAAGTGGATCCTGTCTCAATAGTGTGGTTAGCAGGATGAATGTCGTATGTTGCATATCGAGAGATCCTGTCGATCAGCTGATGCAGTTTGGGAGATGAGTTGTCCTGAACCCACAGGGCCCAGTTCTTTGTACATGATTCAGTTAAGGTAATGAGCTGAAACCAAGTAGAGAACAAACTTTTCAGGGTGTTGGGTCATCATGATGTTCTCTTATTTCCAGAAAAGACAAACCAAACACTTGGACCGGAGTGTCCTTCATTATACTCTTTAAACTGAATGTTAAATTTGCTAAAAACACTAAATACTCTTTAAACTGAATGTTAAATTTGCCAAAAACACTAAAAAAACCCAAATCATTGCATCTTAAGGAAAATTATTTATTGCAATATGAAGCATTTTTTGCTGTATGATAGCAGTGTTTTAGGGGTTACTGGCTTCCCCCATAAATCTTAATGTGACTTGGACAACTATGGACATAACAAAGTTGTTTTTGCAGATATTTCATTCACCTATTTTAACCTGATCCGGAGAAAGAAGAACTTCATTAATATGCCGCTGAACGTCTCATTGTTGCCCCATCATTAGTCTCAACTCTCTGGTTGAAAGACTTTCCTCTGCACAAGCTCATTTTAAGTCAAAGTCATGGTTTGATTTTGTGTTTCCACGTAATAAAGAGCACAGTCAGGATAAACGTCACAGCCTTCCATTCAGCGCTGACCCACTTGAAAGCTAAACCTTAATGTACAAAGAACGGGGTCCAGGTCGTCGTCAATTTATTTGTTCCTCTACTGATTTGTACATTATTTGTGGTCTTTTACTACTGTATACAATAAATATAGTTTGGTACTCAGACATCTTCTCTTGATGTTGATTTTTTTTATTAAATCATTAGACTATAATCGAATAATACCCTTTAAATAAAGGTAACATTTGCGGGTTGCAAGTTTGCAAAACTCGTGGGTTTACATTTCTTCCATTTTTTGCGGAAGTTTTCATCGGTGTAGTCATAACACCTGCAGAAACGTACCACAAGGTGGAGCTATTGAGCTATGGTTAGAAAAGGGTAACTTATTTAAACCACAAACTACACACTGTTATACGTAAAGTGTCGTCACGTCTACTTGTATTCTGAACGTTGCTATAAATGTGTGGTTTTTACTCTTTTGTGAATCAGTCTAATTTAACATATTTTCTTTTAAAATCACGATTTTTGAGGTATACGGAAACCACCAAAAAAGTCAAATATTTGTTGGAAAAAGGGCGATTTTTGTGCTAATGTACAAGACACTTGTCGTATTAAATTATTTCTATAGCATTATTTGAAACGTAGTTTTTAGGCTTGGTCAAACTGTTAATGATCTCTGGGTGGTTACATTTTTTATATATCTAGATAGAACTTTATTAACCCCTCGAGAGTTCCCATCGGGAAACGAAGGAAACCCACAGGCAGCCACAGGTGGGGGGCGCCATTGAGTTTGTGGTTCTTTTCATCCAGAACCTTCTGCGTTTGAGGCAGATGTGCAAGTTAGGCGTGTTAACCACTACATTACAGATTCACAAACCTACCTCCTTCAGCTAATTTTCTAATTATTTGCGCTAAATAAGTAAATGTTATCCAAACTTTAATCTATTTTTTGCAGGTGCTTATTCATTGAATGACCATCGGTTATTTTGCTTAAGCTACTGTAATCCTGGGCAAGTATTTGCTACATTTCCAAGAGCCTAGTGAGTATACGACTGATAACTTCGTTCAGGGTAAAATCAGAATGTTCTGGGTTTTTTGTTGTTGTTGTTCATATAACTTATTTCCCGGACCTTTAGTTGTCCTGGGGTCTGTGAATTATTCTGCAGCTAATGGCTATTTAATCTACGTTTGCATGGTAATGCATTGGTATACATAAGTAGTTAATATTTTACTTTTTATTACTTTACTTTTAAAACTAATTGCTACCAAATTTGTAAAACCTTTTCTAATGCGTTTTCTAACTTTTATAAGCTAATTGAACATTGGCTTTCTGACAAATAATTGGCTACTTTTTTATTATATATAGTTATGTAGCAGTTTCTGGGCTAACAACAATAACATACAAAATACTAGTAAGAGAAAAAACATTCAAAATGTTTGACAATGTTTGTCTTTTGAGTCAAATTTGTTGTCTCTTAATTCTCAACTTAAAGCTGAAAGCAAAGTCTTTTTGGTCAAACTTGAGTTTTGTGGCCTTTTTTATAATTTTTAGGTTTTTAGGTTAAGGCATTTCTCGGCTTAAGCTTCATTGTGTATTTAATGGTAATGTTTTACAGAGCATATTGAGTAAAAATAATTTTTCAACATTGTAAGACGTATTGCTCAAACATCAAGTCAAAATCTTATCACTAGGGAATGGCTTTAATTTGTTGGTTATTACATTCACAATTTTTAAATTACATGCACTAATTCACAGTTCAAAGCAAAAAAAAAAATCAAATAGTTAAATACAGTGCATTTAATTCACAGTTCAAAGCAAAAAAAAAATCAAATAGTTAAATATAGTGCATTTTCATTTTACTATGGCAGGTGAGCTGCACTTCTGTCATAGTTAATTATAAAACGATTTCCTGACACTGACACACCTCCATACATTTCTATATATATATAGAAAAATACATATTTTATATTTGCAGACACATTTTTGCTGAGGCAGTGGTGCACTTCAAGCCTCTGGCAGATCTGTGTCATCAGAGGCGTTTGTGGGAGGGTGATTGACGGGTCGTTTAGAGATTTGCATTGCTCCTGTGTTTAAAAGCAGTTGCAGGTGCAGGACTCTCCACACAGATGAATGGATTTCTCTCCATGCACATGATCTCTACTAATACTAGGCACATGTGAGTCTTTGGGTTATAGCTCTCAGAGGAACATGTAGACCGGCAGAACTTTACTTGGTGGAAGATTTGGACTGATGTAAAGGACACACAGTTGTATGGAGTGTTGGATTCAGAAGACAGAAAATGTCCTAAACATGGAGACATATACATCAGCACGCAACTGAGACACACATGACTTCTGTAATGTCATCGTTGATAGTAGTGCAACTCCTTCTGCTGGGGTCAAGTGTCATCAGCAGCACCACAGACACACGGAGACACTGTACAGGTACCGTAGCATTTTCTTCTCTTTTGTTTGGTGTCTCCCTGCGTCGGTGTTACCCTTTCAGACCTCGGTACACTTCGACACATGTGATGTTGAGCTAATGATTATTCAGTGAGTAGTTTACTACTGTTTCTAAAAACTGAGAGAAACCCCCTGCAGCTAAAATTCTTTTGGATAATTCCTACCGTTGGTATCTGCTTACAGTACAGTGGGAGTGTGTTCAGCGTTGCGTGCAATATTAAATTAATATCTACAAACAAGTACAGACATTGGATGTGGTTCGGATTCCACAGCAAATCTGTACACAACAAAATATCACAGCTATTTGACATTTCAAATGACATCTAATCAGTTTACAAGGAATTATCTTGCACATTTTCTTTACGACCAATTTTTTTATACGGCCTCACCACCGTCACTGTGGTGCCTTTTTATACACGTGGTTAGGATCTGTGGTGAGAGGAATGGAAGATGTTTAAAAACTAGAAAAAAAAGATGAATTAGCAAAAGAGAAAACAGACACTCGAAAATGATGTTTTTGTTACCGTGATTGAATTAAATAATGTAGTGTTTTTTAATAAAAAAAATTTCCCATGACAATATTTAATAGTGCCTTAAGTTAGTTATTAAAGTACATTGCTGATGTTTAGTTTGATTTTATAAACAGTGATAAAAATAGAGATTGAGTAACAAAGACCTCAGATCTTATGTTTCAAACTCTTCAGGAGGTCTTGACCCTGAGGTTAGGAATTACAGTTTTACAGCGTAGCTGTGGTAAAAAAGGCGGTAAACCAACCCTGCTGACCTCTTTATTTCCCCCATTGTTTTCAGACATGCTCCCTTTGGATCTTCTGTCTTTTGTTCTGGAGAGGGACCCCTCCAAACTGGTGCCCGGGGTGCACATGAAGCAGGCTGGCGGGGTGAGGGGCGTACATTTCTCCAGCCCTCACTCCTCCCTGAGCTTCCCATCCTCGCAGCTGCTGGCAAACTGTGACCTCTTCCCGAAAGAATTCTCAATTGTTGTGACGTTAAAAGTCACGCACATCGCTCAAAAGGTGAACATCTGTGGAAATCCTGACATTGTTACGTCAGTCAGAGGAACAGGGGGAAAAAACTCTTCACTAAATTGTAAAATTACATTAAATAGTACAGCAAAAAGAAAAAAAGGATTTTTTTTCAGTTTTGGGTAATTTTACTAAGCCTCAGCATTGATGATTTTCTAAAAATCTCTTTCTAAAAAAAAGTTTTTTAAAAGGTAAAAACAACTCATTCTATGTATATCCATTCATGTAAGAATGTTGTTAGAACATTTTTCAACTTAAATCTAAAGCTCTGAACTAATTTGTCTTCAAGGCTGGACCAGTGGAGGAGGTGCTGCCCCTGCTGGTCACTTGAGCACTAAACAACCTGCTGATCTTTAAAGCTGTACATATTCAACAATGCTGGGAGAAAATCTTGCCTTTTCTTATACATAAAATAAAGATAAAATAAAGATAAAGAAATCTACATTACACTACAGTTACTTATACAGATAACTTACATTATCTTAAAATCATGTCAAGAATTGAAAAAAAGGTTTTGTTCAGATCAGGGGTCCCCAATAAGTAGATCTCCATCTACCGGTAGATCACAAAAAGGGTCTCATACGTCTATAGATCATCACATTTAAAAAAAAATTAAAAATATAAATGTTCTTTAGTCATCCTTTAATCATAAATGTTAAATATTATGACTAAAGTATCCATCATCTACACTTCCTACAGTTTCTTTAATATGACTGGCAGCTGGCCAATTCTTTTGAGATGT